ACTACTACTACTACTACTACTGCTACTCCTTCTACTACTGTTGCTGATGATGCTGCTAACTCGTTAGATCTTTTGTTGAGGATCCGGGCCCCTGGCCTGGGGCACTGGCGGCACGCTGTACACCAGCTGCGGCGGCGCTGCCATGGCCCACGGACGGCGCCGCAACCGCGGGCTTGAGCACTGAGCGTCTCGAAGCGAAGAGGGGAGAGTGAGGAGAAGGAGGAGGACGACGAGGAGGACGGAGGAAGGAGGGAAGGAGAATACGAAGGGCAGGAATGGCAGAAGCAGGGGGAAACAGAAGGGAGCTGCGGGGGAGGGGAAGACATGACAGGGAGAAGGGAGGAGCACGAGGAGGGAGGAGGAGGGAGGGACGAAGGAGGAAGGAAGGGGAAGGGGACGAGGAAGAGGAACACAGGAAGAGGCGGAAGGAGGAGGAGGGGGAGGAAATTAAGGGATGAGAAGGGAGGAGGGACGAGTCGGAAGAGGGAATATGAGGAGAGACAGAGAGGATAAGGAGGAGGAGGCATACACACATACAGTGAGTCACGACGTGCCACCTCACTTACAATAAATGGAGTTGTAAAACTTTGCACCACTACAGCGCATGTCAATCGATCGCGAAACACGATACCCCATCGCATCACAGTAGACCATATTGCCACACATGGAGCGGAACACTACCTTACGCTAAACTCAACTACACTACACGTGACTTCACTTATCCACTTCACAGCATGTATGACACTCTGAGCACCGGATGCAACGCGCGGACACCCCAGGTGCTCAGACGCCAGCCCCGGCAACCCAGCACCGCCTCCCTGGCAGCGTCCTCGTCCGCCGCGCCACCGCTCAAGCAGCGACAGCTGACCGCCAGGCTACGGCGCCATAACTCCACGTCCGCACGCTGGCGCGGCTGACTGTCCGCCAGGCCCCTTTGGTGGGCCTTGCGCCGCGCCATCAGAGCAGCGCGGGCGTCGTCCGAGCGGTGCTTCACGCGGTCGTGGCAGCTGCAGACCGCTGGCGCGCATCCCAGGCATTGCTGCATGACCTCCTCCCCTGCACAATCGAGACCAAAGACACATCCTGGCGGCTATCATGTCTGCCATACAGCCGAATCTGGAGCTAGACAAGAAGAACGTCGCGACCCCTAAATCGAGACACCCGCAGCTGCCGCATGGGGCGCGGCAATGGAGACCACCCCCGCAATATGAGCACCAATAATGTGGTTCACGAGGCCGTCGGTTCCAGGTATCTGGTGAGATCGGGCACCACATGGACGCTGTCGAGCACGCCGCGCGCGTTTTTGTTGGCGGTCGGCAAAGACGATTCGAGGCGGGATGTCTTCGGCGGGAGATGCCGCAGAGCACGTCGCACACGCGGTCGTGCCCCCGCTGCCTCGACGGCAGCGCCACGTGTCAAACAACGCGCCCTGTCTGGCAATTGAAGCCACGGCCCAGCGCACAACGAGCGAGACAGCGCCTTGTCAGCGAGGCCTGCACCTGAGAGAGACCGCAGCATTGGAACGAACCCTTCGCAGTCGAGGCCTGGGCCACATGCAACGCCCACGAACACGTGTCGCTGGTGGAAGCATCCACGAGCTCGCGGAGGCGCATGACGTCCTCCCAGAGCTCATCGCCAAAAACCCACTGCACCGTGGGCCATGCGCAGCTAGAATCGTGGGCCCACACCAGGTGACGCTACAGGAGCAGCTCGGCCAGCGGGGCACTCGCATCAGCAGCGAAGGGGTATTCATGCACCAGCGCCCTCTCGGTGTCAACTCGCCCCGTTGCAGGGAGCGGGGAACCCTCCCGCATGCACCGCCACCACTCGCGCGCCTTCTCCAGAACCTCGGCAGCCGCCTTGGGAGGGTGCGCGCGGCGACGACGTGGGCGAGACCGAAGACGAGGCCGTCGAGGGCGCGATGCCCGCTCCTGGGCCACCGCAGCCAGAACGCCGAAAGGGAGAACACTGGCATCAGCAAAGGAGGAGCCCAATCGGTACGGCCGCCGCGGCCGCGAGAGATGAGGGTCCGCTACGAGACGAGCGCCCAAGCCCGCAGCCCATAAGAGCGCAGCTCTGCATGGTGCAGTGCACCATCGATGCTTCGCCTGAACCCGCGCGGCGAGCCCCCATCGTGCTCATCCAGCGGTTGCGCCGACGGCGCGTCGGTCCCAGCCGCATCGAGCACACGGCTTTGAGTAAGCTCCTGGTCTGGCGCGGATGCGCCGTCGACGGCAGCCAAACTGTTGCGGAGATAATCGGCCGTGGTGCCACCTCACGAAGTAGGCATGTTCGCCCCCTGGATCCGCCGTGGTGCCGTGCAGTGGAGGACCCCAGTGGAGAATCCACAGATGCCGTGTGATTGAGGAACCCTATTGGAGGATCCCCAGTGTAGTGGAGGACCGACCCAAAAATTCGACAGGTCTCGTGTAATGAAATATCCAGAAGCCAGAAGAGTGGAAAGGTAGGGAGATACAGGAAGGGAAGATCGCATGAATTCAGTGGGAAATCGCTATCCAGCACTCTAAAACTGCGTTGCTTGCCCTGGTCCCCTCTCCACTGTTTCCAGCATGGATGTGTAAAGCGAGCAACCTGCCAGCACACGCGTGAAACAGGATTTCGATTAGTATAACTTGCTTGTCGTGTGGAGAGCGGTGGAAATGTGCCTTCGCTCAGGAGGGAGGCATATCGCATCAAACTTCGCAGTACGTTCACCATGCCGAAGACCTTCAAACCCGAGGCTGACAATCAAGCGAGCATGATCTTGCCAACAGCTCGTACAGGCCCCACCCAGGTCGAACAAGGATATGCCCAAATAGATACAACACCAACAAAATCGTGTTTCCAGAGAACAAGACAGCCGAAAACATACACACTGCCTCAACCATCTCTGTCAAAACAAATCCTCACAAACACGTGCTATATTCGGGCTACCCTTACACAAAAATATAAAGCCCGCCAATATTCTGTATTTGAATTCATCATATGCTGGCCTAGTACTATAAGATAAACCAACCCTTCACCCAAGCAAGCTGCGGGATGACCCGAATACAAAAGCAAATTGCCATGCACGCTGATGAAATGAGACAAGATATTAGATCAAGCTCGTGAGGAGAAGTGGGATCGGAAGCCTTTCATCATGCTCTTCGATGTCGCCACCCATGAATACGTCCTCGCTCGCCTGCCAAAAACTTATCCGTTCACAACGAAACTGCGAAGTGACAGTTCTGCAACAAATCTTTCAAAAAAATATGAGTGCCGCAAGAAAGCATTGATTTCGGCACCCAAGCATTGAATACACATGCAAATCCCGACCTGCAAACACAAACATGGGAATCGCCGGTATGTGTCCTGGGCTTGTGAAGCAAACTATGTCCGAAAAGACCGAATCAGATACAGAAAAACACGACGAAACCTCTTGAGATCATATTGCGCAATGTTGCAGCCTGCTTGAGTCGCTATTTGGGGGTCGTTGAGAGCCCTTCTGGCCCATCTGCAAGCAATCCAAAACGTCTCCAAGACAATATTCAAACGATCGGTATTTCAAGCCACCTCCACAGCCGAAAACACTTAATCAGCCACCGTGCTTGCACAGAGTGGGCGTGTTAGAACGTTTGCTGTTGTACTGGAGATAGTCGTTGGATGTTTTCTAAGGCCGCCTCCCCATCCCTGGCACGCGCGTCCCTCGAAAATCAAGCCCTCTGAAATTGTTTTCCAGGGGTCTCCTCGACCTCCAAACTGGCAAGATGGCCTCCGAGACTGCTTCAAGGATAATCAAGATCACACAAAAACGGGCCAAGATGGCCCAAGACAGCTCAAGAGGGTCCTAAGACGGCCTCTCAAGGCAGCTCAAGAGGCTCCCAGGACGGCCGGCCCAACAGGGCTCCAAGAGACCTTCCAAGAGAGCCCGAAGAGGCAAAAAACATTGATGGCTCTCAGGTTTCTAAAGGATGGTGAGATTCTGAAGGATGTTGAGATTCTCAATTGTTTGGGCTTCCGACCGCCCCAGACGGCCCAAGAGGCCCCCCAGATAGCCCCAAGGCAGCCTACGAGGCACCAAGAGGGACACAAGCCGGCCCAAGAGGACGCCAAGATCGTCCAAGAGGCCCCCGAGAGGGCCCCAAGACGTCCTCAAAGCGCTCCAAGAGGGCAACGAGACGGCCCAGAGAGGCCCCCAAGACGACCTCCGAAGGCGTCAGACGGGCCAATCGCCTCCCTCAGACGGCCCAAGAGGCCCCAAAAGGACCCCAACGGGCACCAGGAGGCCCCAAGGGGCCCCCAAGAGGTCCTCGGGGAAGCTCCCAGGAGGCCCCCAGGAGGTCCCAAGAGGGCCCCAAAAAGATGTGCCCTCCTCGTCTTCATGTTCTCCCTCGCCTCCTCCTCCTCCTCCTCCATTCCTTCTCCTTATAAGCAATTTCTCCTTGTCGCATCCCGAGGCCAATTTTTGGGGCGGGCCGGGCGTTTCACCTGAGACTTCCTCACCATGTATGACCCTGAAGCTTGAAAATTGGCAACGGTTTCACAGATGGAGGGCGGGTCGCTTTCAAAATGTGGCTCTCGCTTTAACGCCGCGCATCTTCGTTCTAAAAATTTGCAAGGGCTTCACGGATTGAGGGCGGGTCGTTTTCAAAATGTGGTTCTCGCCTGTGCGCCGCGCACATTCGCTTTAAACATTTACAAGAGCTTCGCGGATTGAGGGCGGGTCTTTTTCAAAATGTGGTTCTCCCCTGAGCACCGCGCACATTCGTTTTTAAACATGTACAAGAGCTTCACGGGTTGAGGGCGGGTCGTTTTCAAAATTTGGCTCTCGCCTCAGCGCCGCGCACATTCCTTGTAAACATTTGCAATGGTTTCACAGATTTAAAGCGGCTCCTTTTCCAACATGTGGTTCCCGCCTTAACGCCGCGCACATTCTTGCTACAAAATTGCAAGGGTTTCACGGGTTGCCATGATCAACCTACCAGAAATGGTGTCTTGGAAGGATTCACGGTTTTGAGGGCGCAACAACTACGATGATTCGCAGAGTTGAGGTCCCAGGAATTGCTTTCTGGTGCGACTCAGGATTGTCAAGACGCAACAGTCAGGTTCCTCCGTGGCGTTGGAATACCGAGAGTCCTGGTTTGGCATGCTTCAGTGCCGCGCACGTTCGTTTTAAAACATTGCAAGAGCTTCACGGATGGAGGGCAGTTC